AGACGGCGAAGATGACCCTCACCGAGTCCTGGAAGACGTCGCTCGGCGTGATGTCGGAGGAGGCGCGCCGAGACACGACGAGATTCTTCGGCGAGATTCGCCGAGATTGTTGCGCGCCTTGCCTCAGCCGAGCCCCCTTCGCAGGCTGAGTGCACGACAGATGCCTGCCGCTCGCGCCTGAAGAAGAAGAAGGAGAAGCTCGCGGCAGCCGCTGCCAAGGCCGCCGCGATGATCGACGCAACGGCTAGCGCCGTGCAGAAGGAACCGAACGCCGCCGCCCAGCCGCCCGCGCGCGGGCGCCGCCTTCCGCACGCCGCCGCCGCCGCCGCGGGCGCCGCCGCTGTGATCGCGGTGGCGGCGGCGGCGAGCGGTAGGCGGCGCCGGCGCGCGGGCGTGTGGACGGTGCTGTTGGGGTGAGCGGGTCCGGCGTGGCGCGTCGTTGCCCCCGCACGGGTAGAGGGAAGGGCGGGGCTAGTTCTTGGGGTGGTGGTGCGTCAACGTGCATCATGCGGAGATTTGAGATGATGAGTGACGTCTGATGAGCTGTGGTGTGTGCGCGATTGCGGTCGTGCGCTTTGCACGCGCATGTAAGAGGGGAGAGGGGGCAGAGTCCAGAGAGACCCCAGAGAGCGCGTGCGCTGGAGCGAGTGTCGGCGTGCGCAATTGTCGAGACACTCTCAAGCGAGGCGCCTAGACGCGTGTAATCAGTATAATGCATGATCTCTATCTGAGTGATAAAAGCGAGCTGCACAGCTCATGATAGATTAAGGGTATGCGACACAGACTGCTGAATTTCCTCTCATCACCCTGCCACAAGACTACACCCGCAGATCTCACATCCGATCGCGGATCGGGGACAGAGTCGACATAGACCGCGAGAGGGACGTATTGCGAGGTTATTTATGCACAGAGAGTCGCCAGCACCGACGGAGGGAGAACTGAGGCGCGCAAATAGCTGCGAGGAAGCATAAACAGAGCGGGGTGGGGGGAGCTGCTAGGCACTACTGTGCCGCACAGCCAAACGAGCCGCGGTCATACCTGCAGAGTCACTAGCCTGCCAGAGTCGACCTGCTCCACCTCCATATCCGTAGAGTAGATGTCGTCCTTCCCCCCGCGGACCACGGCGTCCGCGTGGGCGGTCTCTGCGTCGCCGTCGTCCTCCTCCATCGAGCGGTAGGCCGTGCCCGGGTTCGGGCTGCGCGCGCCCGGGCTCCACGAGATTGTGCTCGACGTCAGCGTGGTGTCGAGGTTCAGCTGCGGCACGGGCGAAGGGCAGAGCCAAGACGACTGGGCCACCCTGCTCATCGAGATTCGGCGGCGCGGATTGATCTGCAGCATGCCGTCGAGTAGCTCCGCCAGCGCCGGCGTGAAGGGGCACTGCCGCTCGTAGAAGCCGAAGATGGTCTCGACGGTGGAGCGGCCCTCCTGCTGCGCGATGTATAGCCGCTGGAAGCGCCAGTCGCACGTGCGCGCAACCTCGAGGGGGAAGAAGCCGGCGCACATGGCAAAGAGGCAGACGCCGAGGGACCAGACGTCGACGAGGAAGCCGTCGTACGGCATGCCTGCCAGCACCTCTGGCGGCGTGTAGCTCTTGGTGCCGCAGCAGCGTGTGAGCTTGGTGGTTGCAAACGAGCCATCCGGCCGCCGCTCGAAGACGTGCGCGAGCCCAAAGTCGCAGATCTTGACGTTGCCATTGGGCGCGTCGAGGAGCAGGTTCTCGAGCTTCAGGTCGCGGTGCGCCACCCCCAGCGAGTGCATGTAGGTCATGCCCGACACCACATTCCAGCCGAGCCGCTGCGCGCGCTCCTCACTCATCTGCCCAACCGCCTCCACCTGCTGGAAAAGCTCGCCGCCGGTGCACGCCTCCATCACGATGTAGTGTTTGCCGTGCCGGCAGTGGTGCTCGATGAACCCGCAGATGTTGGGGTGTCCCGAGCTCGCAACCTTTCGGAGAGCAGCCACCTCGGCAGGCATGCCCGAAGACGCCGAGTCGAGCACCTTGATGGCGACCGACTGCCCCGTCGTGGAGGAGGCTGCGACGAAGACGTTGCCCGTCGCACCCTTCCCAAAGGTCTTGCCAGAGAAGACGTAACGTCCGATACTCTGCGGGTGCCATGGCTGGTCGTCGGCGCTCGGGCGCGACGACCCCGACCCGGGGCGTCTGCCCTTGCGCTTCTTGGGCTCGTGCGAGTCCGACTCTGTTCGCGGCTGCCCCTTGAGGCACAGCATTGGCCACTTCATCCTCTTGATTTCGTGCTGCCGCACGAGCGGGGCGGTGGAGCGAAACTAGGCCAGGGCGTGACCAAGAGCAAGGTCGTTCGGGACCTCCCTACTTGGGTCATCCATTTATCAGCTGGCTTTTATGCCGAGGTGATCAAGGATGTATTCGGCGTCTCTTTGCACTTCTTCTTTCTATTTTTTTCTAATGGTAGCGAAGAAGAAGTCTTAGGTTTGTTGTTGGAGAAGAAGTAGGGGCTGGCCCCTTCCGACCGTGCGTGCGGGCGGCGGCTGAGGCGCGAGCGGGTCCTCCGCGCCGTGTTTTTGCCGGGTTTCCGCTCTCTCCGTCCGGCTGGCAGAGAGAGCAGTTGTTGAGAGAGCAAGGATCTGGAAAAAAGAAAGAATTGCTGTCCCTGTGCGATGCTCTCACCCGCTTGGTCGGAACGACGGAGGGACTGCTGCTTGCGTTGAGCTTTTCGACTTCATCTGCATGGCGATCCCAAATCACTGTGTGTGACACATTTCTTGGCGATCCTACGACCCGCAATCCTGCAAGGGGACCAGTCGGAGTAGCAAGCCATGATTGTGCATCCGTGCCTGCACCCGGTCCTCTGAATGTGCTTGTTGTCATTGGGGCCATCGGTATCGTTGGGGTACACGCGTACACCCGTACACCTCGATGTTGCAACGATCGATGCAACTGCTGACGTCGTAGTCGCCTTCCGAGTTTATACCGCCCCTCAGAAGTCCCGACTCCGGGATACACTTTTCCAACAAAGGCTTTGCAGCCACGTTTGACAAACCAGTGGGTCCAAGGTTGTCCGTCGACGTAAGCCTCCTCACAAGCCTCGTAAATGCTCGTGTACGCGGATCGAATCGGAGCATCCGAGAGCATCCGAGACAAACCAGCATCCGAGACAAACCAGCATCCGAGACAGACGGTACGTGTTGGGCCAGAACCAAATGCCCGCAGCCCATTCTCACTTCCGACGTGGAGGATGCTTGCCCAGGGTGCGGTAGTGCCGCGCGGGAACAGGTCGAACGACAACGTCCAGTCGGCACCCGGCGTCCAGCTGCCCAGTTGCTGGCCTCGGACCGGCGAGTACCACGTGTCGTCACCCACATCGAGTGGTGGAGATGGCGCCGGCGGCGGCACTGACGACGAATCGGCCGTCGAGTACACGGATCCGACGAGGTAGTCGCCAAAGCGGTAGCCGTCAGCCTCGTAAGCGCCGACGCAGTGGTCGTGCGAGTGCCAGAGGTTGCCGTTTCCGTCGCCGGTCCCCTCGCAGTACGACGCGTCGAGCGGTGTGCCACCGAGCGCGCTCGAGCACTGGCAGTGGACGTCGTTGCCCATCGGGCACTCGAGACCCCAGAAGAGGTAGCCGCCAGCTGCGCACTGGCTCTTGCACGACTCGGCGCCGGAGGCGGAGATCGTGACGTTGCCGTATGGGCGGCTCCAGCCGGAGGGGCTGCCGAGGCAGGCGGACGACTCATCCCCGGCCGTCGAGTACACGGATCCGACGAGGTAGTCGCCAAAGCGGTAGCCGTCAGCCTCGTATGCGCCGACGCAGTGGTCGTGCGAGTGCCAGAGGTTGCCGTTTCCGTCGCCGGTCCCCTCGCAGTACGACGCGTCGAGCGGTATGCCACCGCGCGCTCGAGCACTGGCAGTGGACGTCGTTGCCCATCGGGCACTCGAGACCCCAGAAGAGGTAGCCGCCAGCTGCGCACTGGCTCTTGCACGACTCGGCGCCGGAGGCGGAGATCGCGACGTTGCCGTATGGGCGGCTCCAGCCGGAGGGGCTGCCGAGGCAGGCGATCGGCTGATGCTCCGGGACGGTAAGGGGCATGGCTGGCAAGGCACTTATCCCCGGGAGGAGTACGACGCTTGCAATTGACGCGAGCATGCTCACCTATCGGCATCGGTCGTGATCGGGTGGCGGTGTGTTCGAGGGTGGTTGGCCGAGACACGATACGGAGAATGATTCGCGCTGCTGGGGAGGGCGGAGTGAAGAGCGTGCCTGAGGGATGCGGATGGGCATATGTCAGACTGCTTGGCAGAATCGGTGTGTGATAGGAGATATCGGTCGTGCCGATCTTGTGTCACCCTTGGCGTCCATGACACGCAACGATGAAGTTGTACGTAAATCAACTCGGGCGGCGGGCGCCCCTTTTGCGCGGCAGAGACCCGGGCGCTCCCTTGGCGTCCATGACACGTTGCTTCATTCACTCGAGGCCTTCCTTTTCATTCATCGCGTTCTTTGCCATTCATTCCGTGTGCTGGCGCGTGCAGGTGCCTGCAGGATGAATGAATGAATCTGCGCCACGGTTAAAGTGAGTGGCAAGCAGCGGTGTCGATACTTCGCGCCGCAGCGGAGCCTGGGTTACGCCGGTACCTTTTGTGAAACTGAAACGCGAAACGCGATCTGTCTCGCGTGTTCCTCAACGCTTACTTACGATTCGTGCTCCGCTTCTTTATTTGCGCCCGCCAGCACACGCCGCCGCACTGCAGAGCACACGAACGAACGAGAAGTTCTCTCCCTCTATCTATCCGTGCATGCACTACACTCTGCTCAAGGAATTTTTCCCTTGGAGCACTTGGAGTGCAAGTCATTAGTCATCAGCCGCACATCCAGGGCCGGGGAGCTAAGAAGCGCACCCAGCGGGCCAGATGATCGGGATCGGGTTACGGGCAAGACAGCCCTAGCCCTGTTGTTTGGGGGGTGCGCGGTCGCAGGGCCATAAGCATAACACGGTTCGCCGAGGGTTGGCCCCGCGTACCGGGTTTCCCCTAGTGCTCAAGAGTTTTACTGACAAATCTATCCTAATGTACCGAAAAGAAAGAAAGAAAAGACAGAACCAAGTGCTCCAAGAACCCCACGGGATGGATGGGAGGACGGCACGCCGCCACCACACAGGGATTTTAAGGAGAGGGGTGTGATGCGCTCGACGAAGAAAGAAAGAAGGAAGGAAATCAGACAACCCAAGGGAGGGATGGAGGACGGCACGCCGCCACCACACAGGGATTTAAGGAGAGGGGTGTGATGCGCTAGCCCTCGCCCACCCTAGGGAGTCTGCCTCGCCTCTTCCTATCTCTGTTCGCAGTCAGTCAGTCCCTCGCCAATCAATTAGGTAGGTAGGTAGTAAGGTGAAGAACAGCCAGGCTCGGACTGGACACCAACGCGGTATGGGTGGACGCTAGACAGATGATGACGACACGCACGAGCGACACTCGCTGCAACCTTCATGATAAAAGGAAGAAAAGGGTGTGGCCTTGCTGGCGCTGTGCTTGGCCAAGCCCGCGCTCATGTCTTCCATGTCGATGTCCCTCGACGAGATCATCAAGACCACGCAGGAGAAGGGCACTAGCAAGGGGAGCAAGGGCGGCCGCGGCGGCGGCGGCCGCGGCGCGACCAAGACCATTGGCAAGATCGGGCGCGGGGGCCGCGGCCGCGGCGTGGCGGCAGCGACGCTGCAGAGCATGGCGCGCGGCAGCGGCGCCTCTACGCTGATCAAGCCGGGGCAGGGCCGCGCGCCGCGCGCGGTCGCGGCGGCGGCGCCGAAGACGCTCACCACTGGCACAAAGCTGCGCGTCGGGAACCTGGACCTCAACGTGACGCAGGACGACCTCTCGGAGCTCTTCCAGGCGCAAGCGTGATACGAGAATGCCCGCAGCGCGCTTCTCGCCCGGCGGGGCGGCCCTCTCTAGCCCGCCTCGCGCCCCTCCCTGCAACACGGCGGCGGCGGCTGCGCATCACAAGGGGCAGTGGGCGCCGTCCATATGCTGCGGATATGCGCCTCGCTTCCTCTCTTCACCACGGCTGCGCATCACAAGAACGGTGGGAGGGAGGGGCTAGGGCTGTGCGCGCGGCGGGGGTGCTCGCCGTCGGGGCAGGGCGCGGCGGGGAGGGGGGGGGGGCGTGGGCGGGAGACGAGCGGCCGAGCCTCTGGCGGCGGCATCGCCTCCCCCTCAGCCTCTCCTCCCCCCCCCCCACCCGCACATATGTGCCTCCGACACCGCCGCCGCCTCTTCGCGTGCCTCCGCCTGGGCTTGCGCGACCGCGCCTGGGAGGGCTTGGCTTCCTCTCCCTCCCGGGGCGCGGCGGCAGCGGACAGTGGCAATAGACGGCGCGGTCGTGCGGCGGGGGCTGTCGACCCATTTGTAGAGATGTCTGGTGGGGGGGGGGGAGGGCGAGACACGGGGGGGTCGGCGGCCAGCTGCGACGAGACACCTCCCGAGAATCTCCCGAGAACCTTCCGAGAACCTTCCGGGACCCCACACCCATGCACTTGGGTGTGCGGCGGGACGTTTCCGAAACATGTCCGAAACGGGCCAGCCGCCTCGCGTCGACTCGGGGGATGCCTCCGGGACCCGACGCTCGCTTTGGAACCGAAGCTCGGGCTCCCTCGCCGCCTGAATGCAGGCGTCCCCCC